TTGGTCTTTCAACGAAACCGTTCCCTTACTTTAGGTGATTGATTATTTTTAAATTATTTTGATTTTTTATTTTTATTTTTCACTTTTACTGACATCATTTTTTTTCGCTCGTAGGTTACCCGGTTGGAATAAGCATTCCGTTGGATATCAATCAAATGACGGTCATCTATACCATAATGAGATCTCATCCTCCAGAGAATATGGTCCCACCTATAACGTGGGAGACATAATAGGGTGTGGCTATAAACCATCGACCAAAGAGGTGTTCTTTACTAAAAATGGGAATTACCTCGGTGCCTACGCACCTTCCAGGAACCCTTTTATTGAACCCAAAGATGATGAGAATAGTTTAGATCATGTCTGGTATCCTACGATTGCCGCCAATGGACAATGTAAATTAGAAATCAATTTCGGTGGTGACATCGTAAAGGATATATTTAAATACAGATTGGCAAGGAACTTTGGTCCCGGTGCCCCTCTTTCCATCGTTAAACAATTAAGGGGTGGTGAATTAATAGGTAGTTTTGAAAAATGTAAATCAGAAAACGTTGAATTGGAACGTGTGGGGTTGAAGTGATCTTTATACCGTTTGGGGGAAGGGGAGAAAAAAAAAAATCGGCAAATATCTACTGGATAGATGTCTCCTTTTTTTTTTATTGGGGAGCTTTTCTTTTTTGGGACGTTAAAACGTCGAGTCACAATATGAAAATATTTATTTATGTAGTATATTTTGTAATGTAGATATTATATTTTTCGTATTCTCATTGGTCTTTGTTCCCTAAAGAACAAAACATAATATATATATAGTTGAACTATTAAATTAATAGGCATCACGTACTAGTGATGTGCGTGGCGCAGCATTTCACGAGTTCCAAAAGGATCATATGAATCATATGAAATACGCCCAACGGGAATGCCCAACCTGCGGGCTAACGAAATGATCTTTACACGTAATTTGAACGAAGTTTCTGGATACCGCACGTGACGAAAATCAAAAATCATTACATAAAGATTAATACAAAAGAGGAAGTTCCATCACCATTGATTTACTATGTTTAGGTTCAAAACTTCGCATAATAAAAAATATCTATTTTTCTCATGTGCTTGAAATTCAATATATAAATTGTTTGGTAAAATGATCATGAAAAAAAAATTTTTTTTTTTATTATAAATTTGTTCCCTCCAATCAAGAACGAAAATAAAAAAAATCAACATTTGTCATTTGTTATTTAGCGTGAGATTTCTTTATTCTTGGCAACAATTTGGTTTGGTTTTGGTTATAAATAGAACCAAACTTCTCTTTAACCATTTATTTTTTTTTGACTCACAGACAAAAAATATGAATAACTCAACATTATCATCAATCTCATTTAATAATCCATCATCATCATCATCCAATGATCCGAACAAATCGATTGACACGACCATAAGTGACGAAGAAAAACGGGTCAAGTTTGTTGAAGCTCCCACGACGGAGAAACGAGTAAAACGAACTCCGCATAGGCGTAGAACACCTTACGCTTGGGATGATCAACTTCGACCCATATTTAATGATGAGAGAGTTGATAAGAAGGAAAAAGGGAATAAATAATCAAATGGAAAAAATCATCAAATAGGAGGAGATAGTTTGGTCTTTTTTTTTTGCTTTTTTTTTTGCTTTGGGGGCGTTTTTTCATCAGAATATTTTTTAACAAAATTGTAAATAAAAAATCATTTTTTGGGTATTTTTTTTTGTTTTGTTTATCAACAAATCACCTGAGTAATCTGTTTATATGAACATTTCATCATCGCCCAACGCTGTTCAAAAAAAAAATTGTAACACCGGCGCCATTTTAAAAAAAAACCTAGTACCGATACATGACGCAAATTCTACGGAAATCCGAATCCTTTTTTAGGGTTTACAAATTAATAAATAAACTCCCCAATCTGATTTTTTTTACTCCCTCCCCTTTTCTCAAGTCCCTCAACCTTTTTTTTTTTACCCCCAATTAAATAATCAAACTTCAAAAGGAAAACGAAATAATAATAAATCCGGATAAAATTCCTGAAATTTTTTTTTTTGATCGGATGATTCAAATGACAAAAATAGTAATCATCATTGATTAAATGAGCTTTTTTGGCACAAACGGATCTCTTCCAAAAAGATTTATAATAATCCAAATATAGAAAATATAGAACCATTCCCTTTATCGAGAATTTTTCCAAACATGTGAAAAAAAAAGTGTAAGAAAAACCCTATTGACGCCTTAAAGATTTTTTTTTTTCCGGCGGTTTCCTTTCTCCCGATGAAAAATCATTCGTTGTGGACCATCTCGGCTTCGGAAAACAATATTTTAAAAAATGACAAAATTTTATTGTTATTGTTATTCATTTATTAATGATAAGCACGGATTTGGGTGGGACACGAAAAAAAATCCCCCCAATTGGCGCGCGTTTTTTACAGGTATCTCGGGTTTGTATTAACAGGATTTACAACCTTATTGTTCTTGAAATGTATTCTAATATTCTAATTCTATAAAAAGAATTGGAACAAAGCGTGAAACGAGCATCGCGTTACTTACTTACTAAGATCTACAGACGTAAAATATTCCATTAAACAAAGAAAAAAAGTTCAAAGAAAAAAAAATTTTCGTTCTTTTATTTGTGTTTTTTGTTGTGATTATATATATATATATGCTTATGTGATATCATCAAGATAACAAATCGAGGGTGAAAACGAGATTATTGCCAATAATTAAGGGAATAAAAATAATTTTGCTTGCCATTTCCCATTTTGCCAGATGTAGGAAATAAAATTATTAAGAATAAATGAAATAAATGATTTTTTTTGAAAAAATAATAGGATTTAAATAAAAAAAAAGGTTAATAATAAAATAAATATAATGATTTTTTATTAACATGAAAGATTTTTTTCTTTTGTTTTTTGTAATGAAAGAATAAAAAATTACACGAAAAAATAAAATAAATAAAATAAAATCGAAAACGTTTTAAATAAATAATGGGGGGTTTATTTTTTTTTTTTTTAGTGATCAAAAAAAATGTTTTAATTATTTCAGTGCGTAAAGATAAAAAAAGGAATCTATTTAAAAAGAAATATGAATGATTTATGAATTTCTCCCTAGGTGAACCAAAAATGGAGGTGGGATGGTAAAGGTTGAAGTTCGGATGTTGATGAAACGGAAGATCGCGTCTTTGAGAAAAATGTCTGTGAAAGAACAAAGACCAGACTAACGGGTCAAATAATTTCCATCGAGCCTTTTTTCTCTCTCTTATTAAAAGAAATGTTCTGACCGGAATTCCCCAACTGAGGTGACCTAGAGGAAATTCAAACCAATGCATCAATTTCTCTATATTTTTAATTACTTTACAGCACTGTGAAAATAATTTCAACCTCCCAAATTAAATTCATCTAAAAAAAAAAAACTAACTAATCTATTGAAAAAAAGAGAGGTTTTTTTTTATAAAATCCATAATAAAATATATAACTAAAAAAAAAAAATAAAATAAAATAAATGAAAAAATGAAATGAAGCGAAACTCTTGATCTTTCCAAGAAGCTCCTCTCATAACAAAAAAAAAAATTAAGAATTTTTTTTTTTTTTATCTTAATCGTACTAAATCTCTTCTTTTTTCCTTCTTTTTTTTTTTTTTAAAAAAAAAAAAAGAGATTAATTGATTTCCTTCATTTCGTTTTATGTCATAGATTTAAAAAAAAATATATTCCATCCAATTCGCTCACGTAAAAAAACAGAACCCTCTAATGATATACTCAAAAGCTTATTTTATTATATATATTTTTTTGATTTTTTTTTTTTAACGTCTATAAAATTGATATCTAAGTAACTTCTCATTCGATCGAAATAAGCGAAATCCCTTAATCGATGAAATCAAGCAAATATGGTTAACGAATTAAAATAATTTTTTTTTGTTTTGCTTTAATTGCTTTTTTTTTTTTTTTTTTTTTAATAGAGTATATAAGAGAGGGTTCGTTTAATTACGTCTAATTTTCTTTCGCGATATAGTTAATTAAAATCGTAAGGAAGCGAAAAAAAAAATGAAGAGAATGGAAAAGCATAAGGAAGTAATATTAATAAAAAGAACTCGACAAAACTCGATAAAAAAAAAAGAAAAAGAAAAGAATCCACCAAAAAAATTATTGTTTGAAAATAAAGTATATACAAACACCCTCCAAATCGTGTATTTAACATGTTTTAACAAAGAGGTTTTTAATAAACCCCTCAAGGTGTTATACATAAGTATGTGTGTGTGTATGTGTGTATATATGGGTGACGGAAATAAATAAGATTAAAAAGGGGAAATGCAAGTTTTTAATAATGAATGAATTATAAATACAGGTCTAAAGATGAGGGAATTTTTAAACGAAAAGGGCGCGTTTGTTTTATATTTTAGGTCATCGTTACAGATAATGGATGGAATTTTTCTTCGTTTCGGTGGAATCCTCAATCCTTTGCTTAATAACTTCTTTTCACTTGGATCAATGAAAATTGAAAGGACTAATGATGATTAACAATTAATACTAGATTACCCAAATGTGCTAAATGTGTTAATAATATTATGATGATGTAGGAATTTGAATGAGACAGAATGACATCCCTTTTTTTAGTTGCCCAAGAAAAAAGCAAATCGGACAAATAGAAAGAAAAACTATACATATTAAGGTAAATTACACAAAAAAAAAAGTACGTGGGAAAATAAATAAGAAAAAAAAAAAAAAGAGGAGGAAGGAAATGGTTCTTTATTGTGTGAAATAAACAAGTGAAAAAAATATGTACACTATTTAACCCACGCACATATCTGTCTCGTTCACTTTCTGATGCTTAAAAAATGTAATAATAAAACAAAATTGTAACAGAAAAAATGTATAATAATATTAATAATAATGTCCATCCCATCGACCTCCCCCCAAAAAAGAATTACAGACAAAAAAAGGAAAAAAAAAAAAAATCTACAAGAGAAAAAAAAAACTTTGTTTTTTTTTAATTAAGCGATACTATATGCGCCTTCTCGAACCAAAACGCGAAGCTGAATTGCTAAACGGAGGTTTTCCCAAAATTGTGGACGCTGAGCTATTTTTCCTTGATCGCAACAGGAACACGCCATTTTTTCCGCGTGTACTGTTACTCTTTTTCACACTTACGTCATCTCCTAATTGACTTGAAGGCCTTGGAGAAGCTGACCTCGGTAGACTTGGTAAAGAGGGGGATCTAGTAAGGGAGCTAAGAGGGATGGTCATGGAACGTCGTGAAGAGGAACGTTGAAGTTTTTGTCGTGGGTCGAATGAAGTCGAGACACTCACAACGGACGCATTACAGTCAGATGTTACAGTTGGGTCGCTAAGATTTGGATGCTTATATGGCTCGGAACTAGGTGCCGTATCCGGTAACGCGCAAAACAATAAACTAACTCGTTCTTGCTCGGTATTCCAATGTGGGCTACACAATCTATACTCGAGAGGGATATGATGCTCATTCTTATCAATGATCTTTCCTCTTTTCACAAAGCTTTCAAAGTATGGACCGCAACAAAAGCTACATTTTTTGGCGCTAGCAAGATAATCTTTCAAATGCTCTGTTGTATCCTCAAGAATTGGAATCTGTTTTCGAACGATCGTGCGTGCGGCGAGTTCCATAAGCGTGGGTGGAGAATGAGTAATGTCATGCACAAATTCTGATTTTAATGGACATTCCTCGGTACGAAGTTTACGTAAATACTGTAACCTTCCAAGTTCGGCGGGTAAAACCGTAATTGGATTCTCACGAACATCCAAATTCACAAGCGTCTTGATTTCTCCAATTTCAGGTGGTAACTCGGTAAGCTTATTATTTTCAAGCAATAAAGTACCAAGTTTTTTGAGGGAACCAATAGACGATGGTATGTAAGTTAATTGATTTTCTGATAATCGAAGTTCAACTAGCTTATGTAAAAATCCAATCGTGTCAGGAATGTATTTCAATTTATTCTTGGACAAGTCGAGTTTTGTCAGATTTTTCATATATCCAATTTCTGCCGGTATTTCCGTCAATTCATTACAACATCTAATTAAAATGAAAGGTAAAAAAAAAAAAAAAAGGATCGGTTAAATTTTCTCGAGGAATTTTGATGTTCCTGACTTTCCTAAACTATTCTAATTTCCCTTTGACCTACTTTTTTCTTCCCCAAAAACCTGAAATACTTACATTTGCAGACAATTTGTAATATATAGAAAGCAGATATTTGGAGACAATTTGACCAACCCAAGAGAACAGAGCCCAATATTTTTCAAATTTGGTAATTCGCTGAACATAATTTCGCTTAGACCACCATGCGCTTCTCTTAAATCATCAGGTGTCCCGACCGTTCCATGAAAACATGATTGGTCATCACCGTGATGGGTATGTGAATGCGTCCAAGACATGTTGTCATCATCAGCTTTTCCATTTCCATCTAATTCCATTACTTCTGGGGAAGTATCAGTTACCGTGGTTATTACGGATGCTGTTTCTCCAAGAGTGAGATGACTTGACATGTTCTGCAATTGATTATTGAATTCATGAAGCTCACTTAAAAGTGGGTCCGAACTATCCGAAGGTGGATGCATATTAGGTCTTATTGTTGAAGGGTTTATGCGATGTCGTTTATGAGCCTTTACGGAAACGTAGCCGAAAGCTAAAGACGCTTGTTCTTTTGTCAATTGTCCTCCCATTTTTTTTTTTTTTTTTTTAAAAAAAAAATTAATTAAATTATTTTTGTGGGGTGTATATATATATGTGGAAATATATATATGGAATGACTTTTTTTTTTTAAAAAAAAATCTAATTCAAAATTTATTATATATATATGACAAAGATGTAAACTAACTATTGTGCGTAAATATTATTAAAAATTGATTTTGAAGGAATGCTTTTTATACTCCGAACCAACTATATAAAGTATTTATTATTATTACTTAATATTGTTTACTATCAAGCTTTTTTTTTTTTTTTTGTTGTAGTGGTAGTGGTAGGTAGTAGTTTCCTTCGTTACTTTGTCTTGTTTGATAATGAATGAAAGAAACAGGAAAGTTGTGGCTGGTACTAAATAATGAGGTAAAAACTAAAAAAAAAAAAAAAAACAAAAAAAAAAATGATGTTTTATTTCTCTTTTTGGAGAAACTTGTTGAACGGAAATAGTATTAACAAAGTTTCAACCAAATTATTGTAATATTTAAAGGTTAACAGGAAGCATTATTGTTTCAGGGTCAAGTAAAACTAACAAGGGTGTCTTTTTGAGTTAAATAGCGGGAAAGTTTGATGAGAAAAAAAAAAAAAAAAAAACGGAGAGATAGGGTCAAAAGTATTAAAGGGTACTCGTTTGCTTTTCGATGTTCAACAACAAAAGCACAAGTTTATTATTATAAGCTCGAGAAGCAAAGAAAAAAAAAAATTTTTGATCTTTCCTAATTAAAGAAAAAAAGGGGGGATGATTAAGGGTGGGGTAAGTTAGAAAAGGGGAGTTGTAACAACAAAAGATGTACATATGATTAAACAAACTGTGTGTTAATAACAAAACTATTCCTACTACCTACAATTTAAATAAAATAAAAATTGATTGGTTCAATTACATTTAGTACCTTATGTGTGTAAATTGTGTAAATATACATTTATTTATTTGTTTGCTACACCGAATGACAACCTTTATTAAGTATGATTTTTACATTGATAGGTTCATTTGACGTTCAAATTCTGTTACGTTTATTTTAGCCGAGTGGGGAGGAATATCATTCAATAAAAATAAATTAGTTTATAACTAACTTAACAAAAAATTCGAGGGGACAAAATTAAATTCCACCCCCAAAAAAAAAATTCCTCAAGTTGAAGGACGAAATAAGCAGGGTATTATTCCTGATTATTCATTACATTGTATCGATTTTATTTTTAAAAAGGAACTGTGCGACAAAATGGTTTAGTTGTCGACTAAATTTAGATTTGATTTAATAATTTCCTGAATTTTTTAAATATGATACCGTTTTTGGTTTGATCCACCTGCTATTTTTTTTTTTTATATATATATCCGAGCATTTAATCAAAAAGAACCTTCTCTAATTATGGTGTGGCTTAAAAATTTATATTTTGTTTTGTTTGATATCACGCTTTTTTCAAACTTATCCTAGTTATTTGATATTAAATGTTGATCAAACAATGCACATAATGCATTAATATGAATTATTTGGGATTATCAATTTTTTTTAATATTGATGGGTAAAAAAATGTAAATTATTTATCATGGAATATATATGTACAGTACATGGAATTTGAAAATCTTTGTTTGTTGGTCACGTGCCATCGAGAATCAAACGTCAAAAACGTACGTTTATAATCTTCGTTATTTATCTCGATCTGCCGAATTATCGTAAACTCTGTGTAACAATTAAGGAGAATTTTTTATTTTTATTTTGAAGGAAATCTTACAGTACATCTATAAATCCTTCATTTTCGATTCATTCTCAGATTTAATCTCTGTTCATACTTATTTATCAATGTCTTAAAGATGCCGGTTGAATTATTATTTTAAGCAGATTTTTTGGGGGGGCCACAACGAACATTGTCAACAATTGTAGCTTCGTCAACCAAAAAGTTCTATATAACATAATAAATTATTAAGTGAGATGGCGCATTTATACGGAAAAAGCCTCAAATAAAGATAATTCTTCGCATTACAATAATCGCTTACTCGAAAAATATTTAAAGTTTAAGATTTAATGATCTACATTTGATCAAACAAATAAAAACCACATCTACCTCTGCAAAAAGGGCGGAAAATAATCAAAATTAAAAATTTATCACGGAAAATTACATGATTCGATATAAAACGTGTAAAAAAAAAAGAAAAAAAAACTTTTTTTTTTTCCCCATTGATGAACAATGGTGATAAAATCGAGCAAGCCAATTAAATCCCCAAGTTTCACGATTATCATTTCGCTGGATAATCGAAGAAAATAACAAATGTTTAGCAATCCGCAATTCTATCAATTCTATCCAAAGTTTATCTTAAATAATATAAAGCTCAATGTTCCATATAATAACATACATGTAATGAATAAATGGAAACGTTAAAATTATTTAAATAATAAAATAAATTAATAACTTTACAATCTACCTACTTATTCTCATACATTTAAAATTAAAAGATTACTTTAAAAAGAAAAAAACTCTATTCAGCATGTTCTGTAATTTCTTGGGCAACCGTTTCATCTCTCATTTGTTTCAAAAATGGCATTAAATTAGTTCCCCCAGTACCCTTAATGATCTCGATCGATTCGGTACTTGTTGCTTTTCTAATTACCTTATCACCATTCTTGGTTGTAGCGTTGGTGATTGCCTTCTTGCTTATTGCAACAGTTATTGCTTCACTATTATCAATCAAGTCTAATAATAAAAAAAAAAAAAAAAATTTAATGAATGAAAAACAAATTCGAAACGATACATGAATAATAATAATAATAATTAAACTATATTTACCTTTATTTACAGTAGGAGTGCCTTCCTTTGCGTTGAAATGCAAACCACCAACTCTTTTATGTGATTGAATTACAATATAGACGCTCACAATTTGTAAATGCTTGTTTCTAAAATTTTTCATTTGAATCAAGCATTCATTATACGCCTTAACTAAATCACTAGCTTCCTTAGTTTCGCGTAATAATTTCGCGTCTTCATCTTCGTCTGATAATGATGTATTAGTACTTGAATCGTAATTAGCATTGGATATTATATAATTTCGAATATTTGCTATCTTAGCAAGGTCTTCAAGAAATTTACGATGATTTCCTGGGATATTCTGGCGAATACTGTGAAGGTAAGGTTGTTGAGGTTTAGTATGTCCATTAGTTGCATAATGATGAATCTCGTGTTTTTGAGAGTATCCATTAAGACATGAGGAATAATGGTGACAAGAATTCTTATAAAAATGGCCATTCTCTGAAGATGTGTGTCCATTTGCGTTCGGTCTAACTCCCGTTGGATAGTGTTCTATATTAAGCGCAATATCAAGAGCTTGGATTAAAGCACTTTGACCTGCACTACCTCCTATATATTGCCGATAAGTCGGATTCCCATTCTCGTCATCTTCATCTACTCCCTCATAAATTAACCCTTGCGGCAAAAGATCTTCATTCTTCCAACCAGAGAGGTATGGTCGTACCTTCCAGTAAAAGACATACGGATCACATTTTTCGAACATCCTTTGTAGGGTTGCGTTAATATCAAAAATAGTGGAACTGATAACTTTCAACGCGTTAATCAATTGTTCGTCATTACCATCATAAACAGCTTGAATCGCAGTCATAATACCCGTAAGAGCGCGTCCACCGAATCCTTCAATGGCGGTTGTAACTAGGTAAAACCAAGATTCATCCAACGTGTTTGAAAACGTAATTAATGTAGCAAGATTGCTAGATATAAAAATTTATTTTCAAATTCAATAGAGAAGGATGTTGAATTTTTTTTTTTCATTAGAATTAACTAATATATATTAAAACTAGACTGAACAAGATGTATGAATAGATATGAACTTTAAATCAAACGGTTCATTTGAAAATAGTAAGCGCCAATTCCATGTCACGACTGCAGCATGATTACATATTGGCGCGACATCAAGATAATCTGATACTTTCACCCAAGGAATGGCAATATTAGCCGGTAACCTCTACAAGTGGAATCAATTTACACATAAATTAAAACTATAGAAATTAGAACGCGGTAAAATAAAAAAAAAAATAGAATTTTACTAGCCTACACACATCTGAAATTGGTTCGTACTTTCCCCACACATATCCATGTGCTAAAAAGGACAAAACTAAGAAAGCACGACGATATTCTCCTTTAGTTTCTAGGCGATCAGTTTTCAAAATCGGCAACTAAATTTCACGAAATATAATTGATATTTGGTTAGTTAACAAGAATGTTTGCGAATTGGAAATTATGTTTTACATTTCGAACCTTTTTAACATATTCTCTTAAACGACCGATCAACATCAATTCATGAAATATATCAATCAAGGTTTCCCATGGCTCATAGTAAGGATTAGTTAGACGTTGTAATGGTGGAGTAGAGGGAAGAAACCCACTCAATGGACTTATATCATAATCTTCAAGGCGAGGCAAATTGAAAGTACTTTCACTCATAATTGGAACGATACGGTTTGGAGCCATAGTGAAAGCAACAACGGGTTTTGAATAAATAAAAAACAGAAGAATAACAAGAAGAGACAGTAACAGGGAATATTTTAAAAATCGTTGATGATATCAAGAAAGTGATCTAGTCCAGCAGACATCATTAAAATTTGATCTTGATTTGTAAAAAAAAATGCGCTAAATTATTCAAAAATGATATAAATGGTATAGTCCAATCTATTGTGCAGTGGAACACAATATTATTTATTCGATAACATGTTATTTTAGACCACGTGTAACATGACTTTAACGAAAAATTGATCAATATTTCACAATGATATTAAAAATAATCCAAAAGATAAACACAAACAAAAAAGAGCGTTCGGCTAGACTTGATTTTAGAATCAGACCTGGATCACTTAAAATTTTTTTAAAAAATGATTGTTACTAACTAAAAAAAAAATTTTTTTATTTTTATTTACACATAAATTGGTTTTCTATGGCATAGAACAGAAAGAACAGCCGACAACCAATACATATATATAAAAAGTAATTTTCACGGTGATAAAATATTTGACCGTTGTGAAATCATAAGCCCACCACAGCTGCTTATAGACTAATTAATTTGCTAAAATGCTCTCATAAAGAGCAAAGATCGCTCCAGCTCCAGCTCCCGCATATATTAAGTTTTCGTGAATAAAATCACGAACATCCTCAGTCCAATCAAAGTTTCCGTAAGAAACCGAAAAAATGATATACTGAAATACGGAAAAGGCTAAAGGACTATATACATGTCTTTGTGGTTCAAAATTGATGATATATGAAAATCCAAGTGGTAATAGCAAAAGATAAAATATGAAAGAAATCAATGGACGCCAGAATCGATGCCATTCCAAAAGAATAAAGATATCTGGAACACGTATATGATAAATATGAGCTTCGTTCGATTCGGATTCAAAGAAGTTTGGGATAGAAACTGATGTAACCTTATAGAAAAATCAATGATGATATTAGGTTGAGAATAGGTACATCATATCGTAGACAAAAAAAAAAAGTCAAAACGAAAATAAAAGTAAATTCACCTCATAATTCCATTCTATTGCACAATATAAGAACACTGCAAGTTCCAGACATATAACGGTTTTACAAAAAGTGTGAGCATTAGAAACATTCTAAACATACCGTTAAAGTCAGAAATTGAATTAATTAACGAACGTCATAATTAAAGGATTCTCTTAACATCTCATATGAGAAAAAAGAAACTTACTTTTCTTAATTGAAGAAGAGAATCATGAACAGTATTGACTCTAAAGATCCTATCGTTTGGTAAACCTCGTGTATTACTAGGTTCAGCTATATCTGAATCTTCTGAAGTATGTGGTGTTCTATATGTCGCATTAACGGCAACTTCCTGTTGTGATGATTCGAAAGTCAATTGGTTGCTAGTATATCGTGTTGAATCTTCCAAAAGGGTTTCTCGTTTGATCACCTTAATTTCACTCTCTGATGACACTGATTGATTTTCTTCGTCTGAAGAATGCCTGCAAAATTTGAGAAAGATTTAATAGACGATGATGATAAGTGATTTTAATGTTTATATGAAATACGAACCTATCTCCATTCGGGTGTGACGAAATTTCTTTTAAATCTTTCCGTGATCTAGACCTACTTTTTTTACGGTCTGACCGTCGCGGCGTTACTTTGCCTAAAGAAACATCTTCAAGATTTTCTTCTTCATCATGTTTGTTAATCTCAGAACTTTCCAAGTGTATTCTTTTAAATAAAAATAAGCAAAGTACAAATATTTATTATTTTAAACACAGTTACATTCATCAGGCTTGGTAAAGAACGATTTGCAACTAAATACCTTATCCTATCTTCAAGTTCGCCGCGTAGCCCTTTTGTATTTAAACCTAGGTCTGAGGCGATTTCTGAAATCAATTTAGTTTAAACCATAGAAATAAGATATAATATTTCGTATCATTTCAACATAAGATAAATACCTTTTAATTCGTTTTTCCTTTTATTTCTTAAAGAGTTTGGTGTGATGGACATTTTTTTGTAGGTAATTTAATTACAGTGGAAAAAATGAATTTATGTTTATGTTATTTGTTTTTGTGTATTTATGAAAGAAAACAAAAAAATTTTTTTTTTTTACTGCAAATGCTATTAAAAATTGAGGGTCAATATTTATATAATAAATTATTTGCATGGTAAATATACCCACGTAGATTACAATACATTTTGTTTTGTCGATCGTTTTTTTAAATTTAAATCATGTTTAATTTAGGATAGATATTAACTTAAGTTTGCTCGTTCATAGAAGGTATCTCACCTTAGGATGAGTCATGGGATGAGTCATGTAAATAAATAATTGTAAATCGCGTATTAATAAAAGATTTCGAAGTCGCGTTAACCTTAAAATTACAAGATTAATAGCTTAGAAAATATTTTTTCATAAGAAATCAGGTGTTCGATTGAACTATCTAAAGGAATAAACGCTCACTTTTAGATAAAAGTAAATCTCTTGATTCGTTTCATAAATATAACCAAAAAATGGGTAATTTAGAAAAAAAAGATCAAAAAATAAAAAGATTGAAATGTTTTTTCTTGTTTACAAATCACGAGTAAAATTGATTAAGAATCTGCTTGCTTGTTATACACATTCCATAGCGAATGGTAAAAGGTTTTCTTCCGAAAAAGCATAAAGTGATATACACAATTAAGTAAAACATGCCAAATCATGTGACTTATGTTTGTTAGTTATAATTTGGTAAGTACAATTTAGACCATAGTAGTACATATATTAATTATCACGAGCAAAAAAACTATGCTCAACACGTATAAACTACCTTCAATCTAGAAAGAAAATGGAAGAAGAATCAAACTCGTCATCGGCTCCTAGCGGTCCAACTGTTGATATCAATGTCACGGGCAGTAGTCAACAGACGAGTCTAGCACCACGTTCTACCACTCCAAATATTCTAGGTCGTAGCTCGCCAGCACCACAGATTAATAATTCACTTGTACCGCCCGTTACTCTTCCTCGACGTCATTCCATTTACGGTACTGGCGAAGATAGAATTGTTTTGGATATAGGTAGTCTTTATATTAAAGCTGGTTTTAGCGGAGAGTCAAGACCCAGACATATTGTACCAATTTACGCTGGAAACATGAAATTCCATTGGGATCCTGAATTTAATGGCAGTGGTGGAGTTGTAAAAGCATGTGGTGAAAGTTGTAGGGTGATCGGAGAGGTGAGATATTTTAGGATGTTGCTGATTACACTTGATCCGTTGTAAGCACTTACATATTACAGTTTGCAGAATTATTTGATTTGGAAATCGGTCAGTATCCTGATGGATTAGATGCTCTTTACGATCGATTGGCTCATTATTTAAGAGAAATTTATTTCAGGTCTGCTATTCAAGATCACGATGATTATTCACGATGTTACGTTTAATTATTATAACTAGTTAGTTTTGCATTTGGTACTTAGGTACCTTTTGACGGATCCTAAACAACGCAAGGTAGTTTTATGTGAATCTCCAATGCTTCCCTTGAAATTGAAACAATTAATTGCAAAAGTATTATTTGAGAATCTACAGGTATGTAAATTCGTTATTGTTGTTGATTTATAATTTTTTGATCATTTATTCGTTTAGTAATTTAATATAGGTTCCGTCAATTTCGTTCGCACCATCTCATATGTTGGCATTGTTGACAACAGGATGCACAACAGGATTGGTGATAGATGTAGGACATTTAGAAACCACTGTTCTTCCGGTAAATCTTTTAAAACCTTACAGTTTCCATCTTTAAAGAGTTGTGTAATGTATGTTCATTTATTATTTATTTATTTATCTATTTTTTTTTCTTTAGACATTTTCTGCTCGTCCTTTGACTCCTTTCATACGTACAACTCCGTTAGCTGGCCGTGCATTAACAAAACGACTTAAAGAATTGTTGTCAGCTTATGGAAGTATGATAATTCCACCTTCTCAGGAACAAAAACCAGTTCACGCCAAATATTTGACGCCCGCAGTTCTTGAAGATATTAAAACTCGATTTATTTTTGTAAGTCCAATGATGATTTCTGAAGCGTCAATTGGCATTGCCGAAAAAACTTTGGTGGAAGATATGGAGAACAAATACGCCACTGTGGTTTCGACCTCAGATGTTTTGTATCCCTTTACGATAAGCAAACAAGGACGAGATCGTCAAATTGGAACTTTAGTAGTTCCGGGTTGGATCAGAGAACGTTGTGCAGAAGTGTTATTTGAAGGAGATGAAGATGAATCCAGTGTGGTGGGATGTGCGTTAGAATGTTTGTTAAAGGTTAGTTGGATATAATTTTTATTTTTATTTTATTTATTTTTTTGATGTTTTCCTCTTAATTGTTTTTTATCATAGACTCCGATCCACCTACGTGCTCCTCTTGCTTCGGCAATTCTTCTTGTCGGTGGCACAACTTTGCTTCCAAATTTTCAATCTAGATTTGGACATGAGCTACTTCGTACTTTGAATACCGATAGAAGGTTTAAATCTTTAAGTAAACTTGTTGGTCATATTGGATTCTTGGAAGACAATGGTAGTGGAAAAGTATTCGTAGCGAACTGTCGGACTTGGGTTGGTGGTAGGCATCCTAATCATAAAATCATAATATATAAAATTTTTTTTTAATTAAACAAAAATTTAATCATTCTTTATTAGGTTCATTAATTGGGTCTCTTAAATCTACTGTAATTGAAATCTCTAGAGATAAATTTAATGGTCAAGTTCCAGATTGGACGACAGCCAATTTATCCAAATCGGATGAAACCGAAGTTGAAGAATAATCCTGTAGATTAATTAATTTATGATAAATCAGATTTGTAGTTATTTATATAAATTTCGGAGGACATTTTATTCGAATCTCAGAATCATATATTTTTTTTTTAAATGAAATTTTTTTTTTATATACATATTTATTTATTCATTTATTTATCTCATATTGCATAAATTTGAATTATATTACAAATAATGTTCAAATTAAAATA